CATATAATCATGATCATCATATCTCACTCTCATATAATCATGATCATCATATCTCACTCCCATATAATCATGATCATCATATCTCACTCCCATATAATCATGATCATCATATTTTACTCTCATATAATCATGATCGTCACATTTGCTCCCATATAATCGCGATTATTACATCCTGCTGGTTAAGAAAGGTAAAGAATAAGATTTATAATTTTGTTATAGGTTTGGGGAAAGGTATAAGGTTAGTCTTGAACCTCGTGCGAGGAAGTGCGGATTGCAGAAGTTTAAAAAAAATTGTTTTTTCACTTAATCTTAATCATTTCAAAGATCATCATATTTTTTGCTATAGAAATTTCAAGTTTTTTTCGTAAAAATTTGGAAGCGTGATTGCGCATTTTAGTATTTGCAAAATAATATTGTGAAATATAATATCAGTGGCTGAGAAGAGAGGGAAGTATGGAGTGTAATGTTAACAATAGTGAATTTTGAAGAAACCTCTAAATAGATTAAATGCCTTCAGGGTACATATATGGTACTTAAAAGAGGGCAGGGTAACTGACAGATCACTGATTGCTAAGACAAATGCCATATTTAATAAATCAGTGTAATGATATTCTATCAAGGATATAAATCAGCTGGTTGATCATATCACAAATAATTTCTCAATATCAGTACAACTTTTTACTTGACAACAATCGGAAAGAGCTAAAAGTACCTTAACCTTGAATTTCACCTGATAGGTCACAAACATGGTGCATATTATTTTTCACTCCTCCCTTCAGGATGTATTTTCATAAATTTGCAAGTGCTTTGTTTGCAGTGAAATCATCTTCGCCATTAATTTCTGTCATATTCTCTGGTCGGTCATTGCAATTTTCTATAATGATCGAGAAACGGCAATGATTGCTATTTGTATTGCTGACCTAACTGAACGCCAAATAGACAGTAGACCGCGAGTGTACACCCTTCAGGTCATGTCAGGTCACGCTTCTCATGCGGAATGACTAGCCTGCACAGCACAATCGACGACTGCTGTACAATCACGACAAATTTCTCTCTCTCTCTCTCTCTCTCTCTCTCTCTTTCTCTAGCTTAAGTTGCTTTGAAGTGTATAAGAAGGAGAGAGAAGAATGGAGAGAGAGAGAGCATTGCGTCGCGTTTATCGATATTTTAGTTGTAAACATGTTTGTTGACACGACAGGTTCTTTTCTTTGGATAACATTATTCGAAGCATAGAATGTTATTACTTCAAATATAGAATTTGATTTGTAGCATCGGGTGGTACTCCTTTCCATTCTCGAGATTTAGTAGTGATGCAAGAGAAGAGGACCGTCGTCTCAGTCATTTATTTATTTCGCCTAAGTTTTCAACATCTGTAAGGGTGCTGCTTATTCATACATCACATCGTGTAAGAACAGGACTCTTCCATTGTTTTCATGCAGTTCTTTGATTCCAGGACAATGTGACTGTGTGTATCTCAAAACGAGATGGTAAAGGTCAAGGAGATTATCATAAGTGTTGCAGAAAATAACTGGAAATTCAGGTAAGAGAATGCCTACGATAATGTTTAATTGCAATTTTTGCAAGAAAGAATGTACTTTTTTTGCACTTGAGATGCACAAATTCCAATGTGTATTTCTGAAGGTTGGAAAAAGATAAAAAAAAAAAATTTTCTTTCTCAACTTTTTTCTTTCCTTTTAAATGAAATTCATTGTGTTCAACAGCTGATTGTTAGCGTGACTAATTCTCTTGTAAAGTATTACCCTATTTACTTACTTCTGTGATTTTTTTTGCCTTGTTTGGTTGTACGCTAAAGATCTTAGTGTTAATTTGTGTTCATTTAATTATTGGTTAGTGACAGCTTAATCTCTATAGTTATAGGTCCAAAGCAGGACGTTTTAAAATAGCTGGATATTCATTTGCATAAATTTTGAATTATATCTTAACACGTCAAGTAACACCATACGATCCGTATGAGCGATATATCAGTTAATCAGAAATTTTAGGACTGTGTAACTGTCACTTCCCACTTGAAGTTATAAAGTAAATCTTTGAAAAATTATGAAATGACTTCAGTGATAAAATAACGATGATGTTTACTTTCAGAATGGCATTTATCTGGTGGAACATTTGTGTAAAGGAGCAGCGAATCACCTAAAAGTTTCTGCGCTACGATAATGTGAAATGGATATTTTGAAATAATAAATTTTAAATAATGGACATCCATTATTAAAATTTCAAAACACCATCACATCTCTTTTTTGGAAGAAGCAATTGCATATGCTAATCTCCTAGCTAAACTTCAGATCAGCAATGACTTATCGGTTTTACTTTACATCTCATTTTTGAGGTATGCAAATATTTTTTGTTCATAAATTTTTCTCTTTCTCTAAATTTCTTTTCTGATGAACTTATCGACGATAAGGATAATTTTGTTAACCGACACATTTCTTAGGAAGTATTACATTGTCACATTAAATAGTAAAAAATTTATTTATCACAATTTTAGGAATATTAAATTGACTTAAAAATGAGATTTTTTTTGAAGTTTGATGGTTTATAGAATTTTTTTTAAATCTTTAGAATGTCATTTTAATATTGCTCTAATTGTATTGTGTTGGTGCTCTTTTAACATTATACCTCCTCTAAAAAAATTAATTGATCTTTTGAATGTATTTAATACCTCTTCTGTATTCGCATGCTTAGTTGATTCAGCCAACATCTACCTCAATTTCTGGATTGCGTTGGCATCCAGAATGTACAGAAATATACCTCTTATATTTTGTATTCTCACAAACATTTTCATTTTTTTTTAATATTTTGTATTTGAAAATCTTTTGTTTTTAATTTTCACTTTCTTATTGAAATTTTACACTTTAGTACTTGCTAGTGAAATTCTTGGCGATACATTGATAAGAGATTGATTAGCTTTGATAAAAATTGATTACATTGCTGTATGCACACAAATCATCCACATTTAATCATTTCTCGTAGGCGGTGATCATTTTTATAGATAGCCGATGATGTGAAGAATGGGTTGGCATTGGTTTAGGTGCAGTTAACTGATTAAAGCATTTTCTTTGGCATTTACTTGTTCCAAATTCCTTATAAAATTGCTAAATTAAATAGGAATGAATGATTAGGGAAGAATGAAATCTTATTTCATATGATGAAATTTGTTTCCAGAGCTCTGGATTCTCAGCAATGGTATTTAATAAGAGAACCATCTTTCTAAAAGTGAAATGATTGTAGTTTTAGGAGTAAATGCTTACTTCTACTTAAGGAGAGAGAGAGAGAGAGAAAGGGAGAGAGATGTTGAATTGATATGGTGAGTACAGAAAATAGAAGGCTGATATAGGAGGATCATCATAATTAAATCCAAGTTAGTTTTGTTATTTTGTTGAGCAATTTCCGTCGTTCTACGGGATATTCGCTGATGTTCAAAGAGTGCCAGCAGCTTTCATTGCCATTCGTACAGCCTTGCTAGCAGGTCGAAATATCTAAAATGTTGGAAAGTCTGTTAAAAAAAAGGTTGAATTGGCAATGCCTTTCCATATGTCAATCCGATAAGCAGTATTTGCATACCTGGAAAGAGCAGTTCATATCTTCAGAAATAGACATCGTTCCACCAGCATTGTCGAATTGTCCACAGTAATGTGGTGCTGAGAAAATGGTAACGAGGCGTCGATTGGCAAAGAATTCATATCCGTCCTGTACTACTTGATGAGCTCGTGCAATTAGATCTATGTCTAGCTTCTGGCACATGTCCACAACAACATCCTGCCCGAATGTGTACGATGCACCACGAGTATTCGCTTGCCAACCTTTAACCCATTGATCCGGATCTGACCTGTAAATATCAAAAAATTCAACCATATATTACACCATTCAGTAATATAACAAGCAATGCTTAATAATCACCAAAGTAGATCGATTTCCATAGATGGATTAGGTGGATCAATTGGTCGTGGTAAGTTACGTAGTTGATCTAAATTATTCAAATGTGGTGATAAGCCGCCATGCATACACAAAATTCGTCCACCAATGTAACCACAAAGAGGCATCCAATTGAATGTGTCCTGTAAACGAACAATCTATCACATTTCTAAATTATTGATAATTTTGTTTTTCGTTTTCCCGCAGTGAGAAAATCGAATTACCTGAAAAGCATTCCATAAACGAGTGGAATGATATCTGCGATTGCACTCTTCAAAAAAACCATAAACACGATTAATTGCTGGTGTCTCGTGATTTCCTGTAATCATTTAATTAGCTACGCTTGATTGAAACTATCATCTATCATATCATTAATTCCACTAATGAATTAGAAAAGGATAAATTTTCAAATATCCGTAATAAAAGATGAAGTGTTCATTTCAAATGAAAAAAGTGAATGATTCAGACCAATAGGCTGATATTTAATTACATCTTTCACTAGAAAAAACTTGGCTTAAATGTGCATAATTGAAGAGAGCATGAATACCTCTAAGCATGAAGAAATTTTCGGGATATTTGATTTTGTAACAAAATTGAAGACATATTGTTTCGATGTTCTGTTTTCCACGATCGACAAAATCGCCCAAGAAGAGATAATTAGCCTCTGGCGGAAAGCCATGTCGATCATAAATACGAAGCAGGTCCGAATACTGTAAAAATTATAGTTGCGAATATTATATTTCCAATTTAGCGATGACGAAATAACCTTTTTGAAAAAAGATGAAATCTATCTAAATTGCAGGATGAAAGAATCGTTTATTTGTAATATATCAGCAATATTTTTTATATTTCTCGAATCTGTAATGATTTATTAGAATTATAAATTCAATTGAGAGATTACTTGGCCATGGATATCACCACAAACGACAAGTGGTGGATCCACTTCGATGAGGCTACTTTGACTTATAAACACTTCTTTCGCTTTCTGACATACTCGATGGAGTTCTTCTTCAGCAACCTACAATCCCAAATAATTTCTTTTGAATTTCTCTGTTAAATAAATTATTGTTTGCTTGAAAATTATTAATTAATGCAATTTCAGTTTTGAATTTAACAATTTTAAATGATATTGAATAATCTTTGTGATATCAGTGATTTTGGAACATTATTCTATCACAGTGTCATGTCTTTTGTGACAGATTTCCGGCTTACATTTCCTGTAGCATTTTTTTCAAGCCTTCTCAAATGATCTTTGCTTGCATATTAATAGTGATTGTTTCAAGTAGTACAGAATGTTATCGACGCAAAAATTTTTTATTTTTACTGAATATATGATCAAGTATTTGATTTCTTTTTTTTGGCTTACTATTATATGTGATTGCGACGAAGTTTGAATTTCTGTCCAATAAATAAGGAGAAATATTATAGTTCTCATTTTTCAATTTAGAGGATGAGATTGAGATTAGGTCTGTCAATTTTACCTGAGTTGTCAATCGTCCACCAGCCATGCCCACATTTAACAAACGACTAATCATATTGTCAACATCAAATACCGCCATTATTGTCACTTAATTATTTATCGTTCCCTTTGCTAAAATTATCCTTTTCTGCAATCTCGTTTTTTTTCATTATAATAATAAAACTAAAATTAAATTAAATTGAAGGCTTTTTTTTACATTTGATATATATATATATCAAATGTAAAAAAAAGCCTTCAATTTAATTTAATTTTAGTTTTATTATTATAATGAAAAAAAACGAGATTGCAGAAAAGGATAATTTTAGCAAAGGGAACGATAAATAATTAAGTGACAATAATGGCGGTATTTGATGTTGACAATATGATTAGTCGTTTGTTAAATGTGGGCATGGCTGGTGGACGATTGACAACTCAGGTAAAATTGACAGACCTAATCTCAATCTCATCCTCTAAATTGAAAAATGAGAACTATAATATTTCTCCTTATTTATTGGACAGAAATTCAAACTTCGTCGCAATCACATATAATAGTAAGCCAAAAAAAAGAAATCAAATACTTGATCATATATTCAGTAAAAATAAAAAATTTTTGCGTCGATAACATTCTGTACTACTTGAAACAATCACTATTAATATGCAAGCAAAGATCATTTGAGAAGGCTTGAAAAAAATGCTACAGGAAATGTAAGCCGGAAATCTGTCACAAAAGACATGACACTGTGATAGAATAATGTTCCAAAATCACTGATATCACAAAGATTATTCAATATCATTTAAAATTGTTAAATTCAAAACTGAAATTGCATTAATTAATAATTTTCAAGCAAACAATAATTTATTTAACAGAGAAATTCAAAAGAAATTATTTGGGATTGTAGGTTGCTGAAGAAGAACTCCATCGAGTATGTCAGAAAGCGAAAGAAGTGTTTATAAGTCAAAGTAGCCTCATCGAAGTGGATCCACCACTTGTCGTTTGTGGTGATATCCATGGCCAAGTAATCTCTCAATTGAATTTATAATTCTAATAAATCATTACAGATTCGAGAAATATAAAAAATATTGCTGATATATTACAAATAAACGATTCTTTCATCCTGCAATTTAGATAGATTTCATCTTTTTTCAAAAAGGTTATTTCGTCATCGCTAAATTGGAAATATAATATTCGCAACTATAATTTTTACAGTATTCGGACCTGCTTCGTATTTATGATCGACATGGCTTTCCGCCAGAGGCTAATTATCTCTTCTTGGGCGATTTTGTCGATCGTGGAAAACAGAACATCGAAACAATATGTCTTCAATTTTGTTACAAAATCAAATATCCCGAAAATTTCTTCATGCTTAGAGGTATTCATGCTCTCTTCAATTATGCACATTTAAGCCAAGTTTTTTCTAGTGAAAGATGTAATTAAATATCAGCCTATTGGTCTGAATCATTCACTTTTTTCATTTGAAATGAACACTTCATCTTTTATTACGGATATTTGAAAATTTATCCTTTTCTAATTCATTAGTGGAATTAATGATATGATAGATGATAGTTTCAATCAAGCGTAGCTAATTAAATGATTACAGGAAATCACGAGACACCAGCAATTAATCGTGTTTATGGTTTTTTTGAAGAGTGCAATCGCAGATATCATTCCACTCGTTTATGGAATGCTTTTCAGGTAATTCGATTTTCTCACTGCGGGAAAACGAAAAACAAAATTATCAATAATTTAGAAATGTGATAGATTGTTCGTTTACAGGACACATTCAATTGGATGCCTCTTTGTGGTTACATTGGTGGACGAATTTTGTGTATGCATGGCGGCTTATCACCACATTTGAATAATTTAGATCAACTACGTAACTTACCACGACCAATTGATCCACCTAATCCATCTATGGAAATCGATCTACTTTGGTGATTATTAAGCATTGCTTGTTATATTACTGAATGGTGTAATATATGGTTGAATTTTTTGATATTTACAGGTCAGATCCGGATCAATGGGTTAAAGGTTGGCAAGCGAATACTCGTGGTGCATCGTACACATTCGGGCAGGATGTTGTTGTGGACATGTGCCAGAAGCTAGACATAGATCTAATTGCACGAGCTCATCAAGTAGTACAGGACGGATATGAATTCTTTGCCAATCGACGCCTCGTTACCATTTTCTCAGCACCACATTACTGTGGACAATTCGACAATGCTGGTGGAACGATGTCTATTTCTGAAGATATGAACTGCTCTTTCCAGGTATGCAAATACTGCTTATCGGATTGACATATGGAAAGGCATTGCCAATTCAACCTTTTTTTTAACAGACTTTCCAACATTTTAGATATTTCGACCTGCTAGCAAGGCTGTACGAATGGCAATGAAAGCTGCTGGCACTCTTTGAACATCAGCGAATATCCCGTAGAACGACGGAAATTGCTCAACAAAATAACAAAACTAACTTGGATTTAATTATGATGATCCTCCTATATCAGCCTTCTATTTTCTGTACTCACCATATCAATTCAACATCTCTCTCCCTTTCTCTCTCTCTCTCTCTCCTTAAGTAGAAGTAAGCATTTACTCCTAAAACTACAATCATTTCACTTTTAGAAAGATGGTTCTCTTATTAAATACCATTGCTGAGAATCCAGAGCTCTGGAAACAAATTTCATCATATGAAATAAGATTTCATTCTTCCCTAATCATTCATTCCTATTTAATTTAGCAATTTTATAAGGAATTTGGAACAAGTAAATGCCAAAGAAAATGCTTTAATCAGTTAACTGCACCTAAACCAATGCCAACCCATTCTTCACATCATCGGCTATCTATAAAAATGATCACCGCCTACGAGAAATGATTAAATGTGGATGATTTGTGTGCATACAGCAATGTAATCAATTTTTATCAAAGCTAATCAATCTCTTATCAATGTATCGCCAAGAATTTCACTAGCAAGTACTAAAGTGTAAAATTTCAATAAGAAAGTGAAAATTAAAAACAAAAGATTTTCAAATACAAAATATTAAAAAAAAATGAAAATGTTTGTGAGAATACAAAATATAAGAGGTATATTTCTGTACATTCTGGATGCCAACGCAATCCAGAAATTGAGGTAGATGTTGGCTGAATCAACTAAGCATGCGAATACAGAAGAGGTATTAAATACATTCAAAAGATCAATTAATTTTTTTAGAGGAGGTATAATGTTAAAAGAGCACCAACACAATACAATTAGAGCAATATTAAAATGACATTCTAAAGATTTAAAAAAAATTCTATAAACCATCAAACTTCAAAAAAAATCTCATTTTTAAGTCAATTTAATATTCCTAAAATTGTGATAAATAAATTTTTTACTATTTAATGTGACAATGTAATACTTCCTAAGAAATGTGTCGGTTAACAAAATTATCCTTATCGTCGATAAGTTCATCAGAAAAGAAATTTAGAGAAAGAGAAAAATTTATGAACAAAAAATATTTGCATACCTCAAAAATGAGATGTAAAGTAAAACCGATAAGTCATTGCTGATCTGAAGTTTAGCTAGGAGATTAGCATATGCAATTGCTTCTTCCAAAAAAGAGATGTGATGGTGTTTTGAAATTTTAATAATGGATGTCCATTATTTAAAATTTATTATTTCAAAATATCCATTTCACATTATCGTAGCGCAGAAACTTTTAGGTGATTCGCTGCTCCTTTACACAAATGTTCCACCAGATAAATGCCATTCTGAAAGTAAACATCATCGTTATTTTATCACTGAAGTCATTTCATAATTTTTCAAAGATTTACTTTATAACTTCAAGTGGGAAGTGACAGTTACACAGTCCTAAAATTTCTGATTAACTGATATATCGCTCATACGGATCGTATGGTGTTACTTGACGTGTTAAGATATAATTCAAAATTTATGCAAATGAATATCCAGCTATTTTAAAACGTCCTGCTTTGGACCTATAACTATAGAGATTAAGCTGTCACTAACCAATAATTAAATGAACACAAATTAACACTAAGATCTTTAGCGTACAACCAAACAAGGCAAAAAAAATCACAGAAGTAAGTAAATAGGGTAATACTTTACAAGAGAATTAGTCACGCTAACAATCAGCTGTTGAACACAATGAATTTCATTTAAAAGGAAAGAAAAAAGTTGAGAAAGAAAATTTTTTTTTTTTATCTTTTTCCAACCTTCAGAAATACACATTGGAATTTGTGCATCTCAAGTGCAAAAAAAGTACATTCTTTCTTGCAAAAATTGCAATTAAACATTATCGTAGGCATTCTCTTACCTGAATTTCCAGTTATTTTCTGCAACACTTATGATAATCTCCTTGACCTTTACCATCTCGTTTTGAGATACACACAGTCACATTGTCCTGGAATCAAAGAACTGCATGAAAACAATGGAAGAGTCCTGTTCTTACACGATGTGATGTATGAATAAGCAGCACCCTTACAGATGTTGAAAACTTAGGCGAAATAAATAAATGACTGAGACGACGGTCCTCTTCTCTTGCATCACTACTAAATCTCGAGAATGGAAAGGAGTACCACCCGATGCTACAAATCAAATTCTATATTTGAAGTAATAACATTCTATGCTTCGAATAATGTTATCCAAAGAAAAGAACCTGTCGTGTCAACAAACATGTTTACAACTAAAATATCGATAAACGCGACGCAATGCTCTCTCTCTCTCCATTCTTCTCTCTCCTTCTTATACACTTCAAAGCAACTTAAGCTAGAGAAAGAGAGAGAGAGAGAGAGAGAGAGAGAGAGAA